GCTACTTTGCACCGGAACAATAGCAAAGATTCTTTAACGGCATCTGGAGAATTAGGCAGATGCCACCCATTTTAGGCCTAAAGATGTGAAGGAATAAACTTGTTTGGAAACTTGGCTTGGCGACAAGGACTCTGGAGCATTTTTCTGTTCAAAAAGGACCTCAGAGGAAGCTGTTTTCCTGGACTTCATTTCACTCTGTGGCCATATAGGCACTCAGAGACTACCAAGACATGGTCCAGGAAGGACTGGCTACTGCTAATCTGATAGTAGAACTTGACATTGTCTGCATGCATCCTGATTTTGCATGCATGCAATATGCAAAAATGATGGGGTCATGAAGCTTACACCAGGCTTCCAAGGACAGTTAAAAGGCCCGAAAATAGGGAGTGGGGCTGAAATCACTTCCAGCAACCCCAGAAAGGGCAATGAATAAAGCTTTGAGGGGGAACCCTAAGCCGCAATGGACACTTCGGACATTGGAGCCCCAAGTGTGAAACAACTGCTAGGGAAAACGACAGGCAGCAAATGGAAACACAAGAGAGAAACCTAGAAGGCTGCAAATGCCACAGCTGCAGAGTGGAGCTAACTTCACACCACCACATGCCCAGGGGCTGGATATGGGTTGGCAGGGTTTAATGTTTACCCAGCTAGGTTTTGGTCTTGCTTTCCTTACACCCCTCCTTTCTGTTCCCTGACTCTTCCTCTTTGAAGTGGGAATGTTTGCTTTGTGCCATTGTAGATTGAAAGTATGTAACTTGCCTTCTGAATTTACAGAGGCTAGCCCCTATGTTTGCCTTGAGTCTTAAAAGAAGCTTTGGGCTTGAACTTCTAAGGCATGCTAGAACCGTTCAGACTTTGGGGAATATTGGAGATGCATACTGCTACTAAGAGATGTCTGTGAGTCATTGGGGCCCAGGAGGAATGCATGGTTTGGATACAAAATACTCCCCATGGATTCATGTGTGAAAACTTGGTCCCCAGTTGACAGCATAATTTTGGTACCTGATGAAAACTCCAGAAGGTGGAGCATATAGATTAGAGGATATATTAGCCAGGGTTCTCTAGAGGGACAGAACTGATAGAATATAAATACACAGACACATGATATATATATATGAGAAAGAGAGAGTATTAGAGTAACTTACAGGTTGTGGTCCTGCTAGTCCAACAATGGCTGTCTACCAATGGAAGTTTCAAGAATCCAGCAGTTCAGTCCACGAGGCTGGATCTCTCAGCTGGTCTTCAGTATACACCAGAATCCCAAAGAAGAAATGGACTTGCCAATGAGATCAAGCAGGCAAAGAGATCAAGCTTCCTTCTTCTATATCCTTTATATAGGCTGCCAATAGAAGGTATTGTCCGGATTAAAACTATATCTCCTACCTCAAAAGATCAGGATTAAAATCGAGTCTTCCCATTTCAAATGATTTACCTAAGAAAAAAAAATTCCCCACAGGTGTACCCAGACACTTGGATTTTAGTTAATTCCAGATGTAGTCAGTCGGGTTGACAACCAAGAATAGCCACCACAGAGGAAGTAGATCACATGCCCTAGAAAGATATACCTTATTATTGTCCCTTTCTCCTGTTGCTTTCTGCTTCTCATCCACCATGAAGTGAGCAGCCCCTCCCTTCTCATGCTCCCAAATAGAGGGTTCAGCTCCCTTTGGACCCACAGTAATAGATAGCTCCATTGAAGCCAGACTGATACCTCTGAAGCCACAGACCAAAGAGAATCCTCCTCCATTAAGTTATTTTGCTCAGTGATGAAGAACTGACTGTGTGTATTTGAACTTCTAATAAATAACAAAAGTTTTTTCTTCCTGTGAGTATGGCCCAGGCAATTTTCATCTGAGAACCCTAATTAGGCTATTGCATGTTAAAGATATAGATATCTGGAGACAGGGAAGACTGAAAATGTGAGAGCATGGTTATAGATTAGTAAGAAAAAGACAAACCACTCAAGCCAACAGAAAAATATACAGGAAAAGAAAAAGCCAATGGGCAATAAACATAGAAATGTATATCATGTTTAACTTTATATACAATCAAGGAGATGCAACTATAACACTACTGAAACTTTCAGCTGGAAAAACTTTTATTGTATTAAAATCAGAGAGAATAAACAACTGCAAGGTCCTTCTTGCTTAGGATATAAATTGCAAAAGCACTTTGCAAACCCGAAGAGATCATGCCAACCAACGGCAGTTCTCAGATCTATGCCCGGGGAGTCACAGGCAGCAATAACCACCACAGAATCATTTGCAGCCAAATTAAATTGAAAATGGGGCAGCTAAAGTAGAATGAATAAATAAATGTGATAAATGTCCTTACCATCGACTACTATAGGCAAGGCAAAAGTAATTGGAGTAGAACTACCCACTGTCAACACGAATAAATCTTCAACATAAATCGAGTGGAGACCATCAAGTTGCAGGGTTATGATTTGATATATGCACACTGTGTTAAGTGCACAGGAAGCAAGATATTGCTTGATGGTACCTATAAATAATAAAATACAAAAACATGTCTAGATGTAAAACACTAAATTAAAGGTAGCTCCAAGAGGAGGAAAGAGTGTGGCATCGAAGTAATATAGGGGGCAGGGCTTCACTGCTTGTGTCTTCCTATAAAAAATGAAGAAGAAAAGGGCAAAGATTATGAAACTTCAAGGTCTGGCAAGGTTGCATGATGTGTATTATTAAAATAAGTCAAAAATGGTTACAGAATAGACAAAGGGAAGGGGGAGAAGTGGAGAGAAAGACAGACTGACACACACGGTGGGGGCAGGAAGGAGTGACTCCTAAGCCTTAGAGATTTGCTGACTGTCGGGACAGCCACACAGACACACTGTCTGGAACTGATTCTGCCTGAAGGAACACTTTTCAGGAACCAAGCAATGCCTTTCAAGGCTTGAGAAATACCGGAGTGGCCAGTCTTTCCTCCTGTCCTGAACATTCCAATGAACTGACAAAATTAAGTACCAGCCTGATATGCATCAGCTTCCAAGGGCTGAACTCAGGAGCGGCTCAGCGACTTTCCTCTCAGAGCTCTCTTTGCAGTTTTGCTGACTCTTGGTTTCTCAGTTTATAGCTCTATTTTAGACATAAATAAAACTGGGTTTGCTTTCTTTAACCCCATGATTTCTTGGCTTCAGTAGATCAGTATGCCATCACAAGGTGACACCCCTTCAACAATAAACACTCTAAGGAGATGATAGTGCCGAGTGTATTTAGTCATAGTTTTATGTGACACTGGAGTCTTCAGGTTGATGACTTGAAGGCCCCAGGTGAATTACCCAAATTTAGACTTAGATGGATGAAGTGTGGACGGGCAGGTAGAAAGTGACTGAGAAAAGCATCTGTGTGAGAATGGGCACAGTGGGGAGACAGCAGACTCTGCCTAGCTCATTTGTCTAGGCGTCTCTGGCCAGCATTCCTCTCTCCAGGGCATGGTGTGGGACTTTTCTTATGATCACACAAGCTGAAAATTTCTTTGTGGACATCTCCGACACAGAAAAGCAAGAGAAAGCTGAGATGCTCCCTTGGGGTCTTATGCCTCATTTGGGGGACGAGATGTCACAATGGGAACAACGTGCTGTGAAGATGCTGTCTGAGAACCTAGATGGACATTCCCGTATCTTCCCACAATGTCAGAAGTTATTGAATAACAGTAAATAACAAGTTACCTTCCTTTCTTTGGCTGCAGTTTCCCAAGCAATCCCAACTTCCCTTGATCACTGGCCCCTTGGCGAACACAGGTTCATTTATTCCAGTCTCAACTGGAAAAGTCGCAGGTCCTGCTTTGCATGTCACATAGTGATGTGATTGCATTTGTCTATATCCATACAGAAATATATGTAGGCTACAAAATGGATACCAAAGGGTTAAAGCAACCTCGTGAGAGGCAGAGGCAGAGGACCAGTACAGATACAGAGTCACTGCAGCTGGTAAGATATTAAGAAAGCCTGCTAAAGAGAGTCAGAGAGATGGCTCAGAGGTTAAGAGCACTGGCTGATCTTTCAGAACACCCAGGTTTGATTCCCAGCACCCACATAGTGGCTCACAGCCATCTGCAACCCAGTTCCAAGGGATCCAATGCCCTTTTCTGATTGGTACATAGATATCATGGAGGCAAAACCCTTGCACACATAAATAAAAGTATAAAAGACACCCAGTCAAAGTGTTGCTGGAGACACAAAGCCACAGGTCTTCCAGGTGAGCTGTGGGAGGGCCATGACATTGATTGAGTCAACTGCAGAGACAGAAAAAAGGAGGAAAGTCTACAAACATGGTCAGAACTGATGGACAGATGGACAAAGAGACAGCAGTTCAAGTATGCTGTCTTAAGCAGTGAGGATGGAGCTGAACCCCAGCCTCAGACACAGTCAGGAATTTCCTGAATGTGGGTTCCCCGAGACACACTTTGAGCTTTCAGCTAACATGGGGACACTGTCATGAAACATTAGATACCCTCCCCTCTCCATCTCAACGTTACCATTGTCTCTCAATATTGCCAAGCTGGGGACCAAGTCCATACCACACAGGCCAAACTACCACAGTAACAATCACGAATCGCCATTCCCATGGCATGAGGACCCTAGCCTAGAGTACTTCAGCTGTCCCCTAACTACCCTGGTGGCATCTAGCCTATGTACAAAGTGCACACTGCCTATGACAAAAAAAAATTATTTTTTTGGTTTTTCGAGACAGGGTTTCTCTGTGTAGCTTTGGAGCCTATCCTGGCATTCACTCTGGAGACCAGGCTGGCCTCGAAGTCACAAAGATCCACCTGCCTTTGCCTCCCGAGTGCTGGGATTAAAGGCGTGTGCCACCAACGCCCAGCATGACAAAATATTTTACAGTGGTAACAGACAATATAAAAATCTGCAGTGGTATAGTCAGCAATGTGACTATTTTATGTGTTTGATGAAATCCTTGGTATTTCAGGCTCTTGTGTCACCACTGCCTTAACATGTGAACAATGTTCTTCCTGTGTAGAAAGAACATTGTCGACCCAGAAGACCCCCGATGTGCCCGGTTAACGCTCACTGGCCGGATGATCATGGTGCCGCCAGGGGAAGTAGAATTCGCCAAGCAAGCCATGTTTTCAAGGTATGAAGGTGCTTTAAGATTGGACTCCCTGAAGCTAGGTATGGTCGTGCATGTCTAGCATTTGGAGGGCCATGGCAGAAAGAGTCAGAATTTGAAGCCAGTCTGAACTGCGTAGTGAATCCAAGGCCAGCCTAACTAAGCTACATAGTGAGACCTTCTCTCTCTCTCTCTCTCTCTCTCTCTCTCTCTCTCTCTCTCTCT